TGACCACTTTTCGCTACGTGGTTAATTTTGGATGTTTGAAACTGCACCCCCAATATGTTGGCGAAAGACGTAATCCTACGTCAAAGTGAATTTTTGCCTCGACTTTCTCCAATTTGCTAAAATTTGGCCATTTTGAATCTTATTTTCTTTTTCACAAAATGGCTTATTCGACCTTTTCCAATAAATTGTAGCATGATAACGTCATTTCTAATCGAAACGAAGTCTGAGACAAAGATGTGGGGGAAAAGAAACTCTATCTAGAAAAAATATACACGGTAAGTTATTTTGTGACTTTGGGTGAAAAATCCAATAAAGTATTAACAATTTAAATAAAAATAAAAATTCCTTGCTCAATATTTTAGATTCGAAAAAAAAACGCTAACAAAAAATGCAAACATTTGAAATATGAAATCTTTGGAATTAGATTTTAATTTGAAGATAATTTGCGAATGCTGACATAAATTTCAACTGAATTTTCAGGAAAATGTTAACGAGAACTCTAGACAAGTGTGATAAGTACTCCTGGTAAATTATAAGGTGAGTGATACTGCCTATAATCCCATATCAATCATATGGGAAAAGTAGGTATTGAGAAAATGGCAATCGAAGTTACGAAGTGTGATTCCCACGCCCAAATAATTGAGAAATCATAGTAAATTTATTAATATGTTTTCAAGATAAAATCAGTTGCATTAAAGCTTGCATGTTATGTTCTATCAGCGAAAAATATGGCAACTCGAAAAGCAGAACTGTAACTTCACCTCTGGACGATTGAATTTAAGGATGGGACTGATATGCGATTGCTTTCGGACAAACTGACTTGATGTTGTTTTCACATTCTTATGATCAAAGTCCGTAGCTTTACCACATAATATGGAAGTTGATGCCAATTGATAGTGGATAGCGAGGTTATCTCAAAATTGACGAAAAACCATATGGGACTAATATGCAATTATATCCAGTACCACAATCAACTTAATGGCCTAAAGAAGTACAGTGTTAGTACAATCATGTCTCTCACAGGTATTACTATGAAGTTCTATGATATATTCCAAAAATTTATTTTTTTAGAATTGTGGAGAGGAATCCAAATTAATTCTGGTAAGAATTATTGATAATACGATAATTGTAGAATGAACTCCAAGAGCATCCAGGATTGAATTCCTCAAGTTTTAAATTAGGGGAATATCAGAGAGAATCGTAAGATTTTTCATGGGAATCCTGAAGTTAACTCTGAAGACTAGAGATAAACTAGCCTATGTCTAAAAATCTCTTAAATAAAAATTAAAAAAAAAACTCTGAAGACATCTTTCGATGTTCCAAACGGCATTATTGAGAAAATTCCAAAGGTATCATATGACACTTCAGGAATGATGTAGATAGCTAAGACATTCTTCCAGATTCAAGATTCTAAGATTTTGAAAACATGTTGAGATCTCACGCTTACAAAAACAAATCTGCTACACCCGAACCTAAAATTCGATGTAAAGACGCTACCCATCCTGTTTAAAATCTCTCAACTAATGAAGATTTTTTAGAGTGGATTGCATTTTTTAAACTAAATCCTCAAATAGTATTACATCAACTTATTAAAATAGAATTACATCAACTTATTAAAAACCATTGAGGAATTACAGTGTAATTTTTGCGTTTTTCAAGTGGTTATATGTGTTTCAAAAGTCCATAACGTAAAATTATTGACTGCTTAGGCTGAGTGTGAAAGCACTGCACCATTCAATTCATTGCTCTATCCAGACCGTTTGTACCCAACGGCGCAGGACGACGCAATGAAAGAGCATACAAAAACATTCGGTCACTCACGAACAGGCGACTCACATCGCTTACCTTCGCTCACATAGCATTCAATTGAGGCATTTTTCCATACAAAATGCATGCTCAATTATTCAAAACAAAGTGTGCGTAGCAACACGGAACAATACAAAAAATAATGTGCTACCGAATGAGTGCTCTGCTGTCAGTGACTTGTTTACTTCCCAATCATTCAGACTCTCACGACGCAGTGAATATGAAGGCAAATTTAAGTAAAACTCATACGAAAATCACTTGAAGCTGACTGTTTTGTGTACTGATTCTTGCGTTACATCCTATAAGGAGTCCGGCATCCCACCTTTCTTTCTACGTGAGTGATTCTGATTTTTCTTTAAATTGGATAATAATTTTCAAAAAATTTCCAGTGTCGAATCAGTGTTCGAAAAATCGTTCTCTAATCTCATTCATTGAGGCTTCCTGAGAGAATAATCTCGCGTGCGAATCTGCAAAACTAATTTCTCGCTTGAGATTCACATGCATTTTCACACATTCACACTCACAACGCTAAAAACGGATTATAGCTTTTAGGTCATACAAACCGCCAAAATTTCAATTGATAGCCTGATCATAGAGTTTTGTTAATTTTCTATCGAATAAATCGAAATCGCATGCAAAAACAAGACTAATAATAATGAATAACGTCAACATATAAAGCAATGAATGTTTGATCCGTAGGTCTCATCAGTGATTATTGCAAAGTTGAATTTCGCAGGGCAAAAATCACAGCTGAATAATCTCAAGCATGAGATTTCAGTATTAACTCACTGCTCCGGAATTATATTGAGTCATAAATCATAAAATTGATCTTCTTCTCCTTCTTCTTCTTCTTCTTCTTCTTCTTCTTCTTCTTCGCATTTCAAGCTTATTGCATATCGCATAGTAGCTTATTGCGTGCTCTCAACTTAGTGTTCTAGATGCACTTCCACAGTTATTAATTGAGAGCTTTCGATGCCTGTACCATTTTTGCATTGGTATAATTGAGTGGCAAGAACAATCATACTTCTATGCCCAGGGAAGTCGAGAAATTTTCCAACCCGAAAAATTCCTAGACCGGACCGGGAATTGAACCCAGCCACCTCCAGCATGGTCTTGCTTTGTAGCTGCGCCTTTACCGACTGAGCTAAGGTAGACCCCATAAAATTGATATGATCCTGATAAAAAGATACTCCAAGATCCTTAGTTGATTCCCTGGGATCTCAAAAGAATAGTAATGTGGAGCTCAGCGGCCTTGTAGCGACCGTTTTTGCTTACTAAGCAGCAGATCGTGGGTTGAATGCCAGGCGCTTTTCTTTTTGTGGGAGGGAACGAGGAAAATCGCTACCAAAACTAATTAACAACGGTTGAATTGAACTAACATGGAACTGCCGATTACCAATTTCACGTTTTTTTTAGTTTATTCTCCGGAATTTTGATTATTTTCCCGGTGGTCCGATATAGCAGAGCTATCTCAAAAGGGTCGTTAATACGATAGTAACATTTTACCTGGATCTTGAATTTGTTCCAGCTTCCGAAATCTTCAAGATTTGCCCTTGATAATTCTCTTCGCAAACTTCGTTTCGGAATTCTCCTAGAATAAACATGATATTATATTTGATATTCCCTCGACATTTACTCAATGTTTGCCACACTGAACACCTCTCGAAAAGCTTGGATCACCCATGCAATTTATCTCAGAAAATTTCTGCTTATAATTATCTTGTAGTTCTCCCTGAACTCCTCTGAAAATGCAACACATTTTTTTCTCGAATAACCTTGGAATTATCCTCGAAATTTCCTTTAAAGGACATAACACAGGACCCACAAAATTCGATTCCCTTTCTATTCTTCTCAGAATGCTCTTGCAACTCTCTTTCAAATTTACTTAAAAGTATCCTCAGAATTTCTTTGCAATTGTTTTGCAACTATCCTTAGAATTCATTATCTTCAGATTTTTCCCTACAACATTTTTGATATTCTTCTAAGAACTTAATTGGAATATGCAATTCGGATTTTATAGTAACGATATTTATGCCACTGTTTGTAACTTTTGGAGGAGATGAACCAGACCAAGGCTGAAGGTCTCCTTAATAAATATATATATAAAAAACACTTCGAAGTTTTTCAAATAATTGTTAACACTTAGCACAAGATTTTGATTTGAAATTCCAGAACCGGTTTCGATCATTTTTGAAATGGTTTTGGATATGACTGAGATAATATTGAGGTTGTTAGAAATACATATCTATTTTTACGAATTGCCTTCACACTCCTGATAAATTTCATTGCATTACATTTCAAATCATATCCCTGAGACCAATTTAGAACTATCTAAATTTACCTCGGAATCTAAACTCCGTTTCGATAAATTAGTATACACCAACTTACATCACAATTAACGCCAACTCAAAATAGCGACTATCAGTCTATCCCGTTCACTTTCGCCATAGCTCAACCAATCGCTCATGAGGAATGACAAAGCACCAATTGCTGCAGCACATTAACACAACCCGACGCATGAGAAAGCAAAATAGTCGTAAAAATTCTTTCCCCATTCACCCATGGCACCTCATGATGACAAAACCACAACAACACATGCTTAGCACGATCAACAACAACAACAACTATAGTTATATAGTTGAGCCAATGCACAACAAATCACAGCCATCACAGCATCCATCGATCGATGATCATCACTTTCAGTTTTCCTCATCTGGCGTGAGTCAGTCCCGGTTTCTCTCGCGCGGTAGCTTAACCTAATGTATACATTTAGATAAATAGACATCGAGAAGCGATCTGCGTGCTCTGACGCAGATTCTCCCACAACTAACCTTCGTAAATCTTAGAATAGGCACAACTACCACCACCAACACCACCACCACAACCTCCACCGTGCTGCTGGCAGAACCGAAGGAAGTACATGACGATATTTTGACTTCAATTTACACGTTGATGAAATTATCCGCTGTAAATCGTAATCTTCATCACATCAGCGCACAGCAACAACTACAAGAACAACAAAAAGAACGCCGTGATCTACAACATCCTCGCACTCTCGAACGCTCGATTGCTTCAAATCCGCCACGGAAAACAGACGCACTGATTTTTGGCATACAGCATTTTCTCATTCTCTAGGACGCGTTTATTTTCGATACTCGTTTCTTTTCTTTGTTTTGATGGTAAACATCACTCACTGTTTGAAATTTCCGTCACTGCTGCTCGATCTTCTTCCTTGAATCTCCGAATTTCACTCTAGCACTGAATTTCACTGAAAACGCTGAAAACCACTTATCAACTTCTCACTCTGCAATAATGATTACATACGACGCAGGCATATATCCTTGCCTCCTTACGCTTGGTGTCACTTTCGAAAGTTGCTGAACTTTTCAACTTCTGCCCGATGGCTCAGGAATCCGGTTTTTCGCTGAACCTCCTTGGAGACACACACACACACTGACTTTCAGACACGCACTTTCTGGTATTTCTTAATCACTACCCTTCTTCAGGATGTTCCGTCGGCTGGGGCTCCCAGCCCGTCCCGTCACACACAAAGTTTAACTCGATTGTGGCTTTTAATATTCCGAGAATTTCCTGGAACGTCTCCCGGATTCTTCTCACAGCAAACAACCCAGAGGACACCGCAGATCCGCTGTACGCGCGCCACTTCCCAAAACTCCGTAGATCGAGTGGTTACGTTTCCACACAACACTCTCGCTGGTCAAGAGCTTTCGAACTCAACAACCACCAAAACAACACTGATCGTGCTTTGCACTGCGCGCGATCGGTTTGTGGTGGATTTGCGTCAAGAAATGAAAAAAAAAAAAAACTAAAACTAACAACAACTCGACCGATGAAGCTCTCTCTCAAACTCGCGACTCCCCGGAGCTCTCGCTCGAACTCTTTTCCAGTTTTCCGGCGACCGAGACCAGATCATTGATGGGGGTACGAACGTCGCGATAGAGGAACCGACCGAACCAACCCGGTACAGGTCGAAATGGTGAATAACAGAGACAGCCGGCGCAGGGCTGGCCTGGCAGTCAAGTGGATTTGATGGGGTTGGAGCTTTTTTCCACGGCGAGGTAACTCATTCTCTTTCTTGTTTTTGTTTTATCGTTTTCTTGCGTTGAAGCAGATGGTTCGGTTGAGTTGGGTGTTCTCTGACCTCTGATCGTGTGGTTGGTGGCTTTCGTTTTTTTTTATGTGGCGGTAGTGATCACGGTCATCGATGGTCGGTCACTCACTGTGAGCGGAAGGTGAGTTCGCACGTGTGAAAGGATATGGTGGGGTTAGGGTTGATCGAAAATTCACGGCTACCTAGTGTCAATGCGGGTGGAGATGAGTCGTAGGTCGTTGACCAAGGTTCAGTTAGTAAGCTATGGAATGGTCTTTCCTGGTCCATGATTAGTAATGCGCGGTTCGCAGTATGTGTCCTATGCTTAGTCACGTATCCGTACATGCGTCGAAGCTCTGAATTGGGATGTGACGAATCCGAATTATTGAGTGATATCCGAATTCTCTTCAGAACCACCAAAACAATCCACACAGAACTATCCTTGAAATTCATCTGGAGCTTATCAATTTGAAATTTCTTGAATTTCTGCTGAATGCTCATTCCAAGAACCATGATTTATCCTGATGAATGTGGGCGTCTATAGCGGAATACCTGATCTATGAAGAACAGTAAGATTAGTAATTTACATTTAATTCCACTACCTTAATTGCTTATCCTTGACAGATACACGTATTTCGTCTACAAGGTGCAGACTTCTTCAGTAGCTACCGATTTTGATTACTGAGCGGAATATTGTAGTCTCAATGACAGGCCAACTTCGTATAGAGGTCTCCGTCTTAGCATCATCGTTTGTTTCTTCGCTGTTGTTTTGTAGAAGATAACATGGAAAATAAACACTGATCGAACTTGGTCGGGACTGGTGGTTTTTACTATGACTCCGCCATGACTGGCTCTACAATGAACTTAGGGGGTGAAATGAACAATTGACAAATTTTAGCGATGAAATTATGAAAATTCTTTAAATTCAAACACTTGAGGGGGTTGTTGGGGAGTTGAGAATATGCATCGACCTGTATGCTTAAGATTAACCCTTACAATTTGGTCCATAATACCGAAGACAACAAATCAAGAAGACTGGCAACTCTTCCATTTTCTCATACGAACGCTATGAGACAGGTACAATCGCGTCATCTGCCGCTCAAAGGTAAATCCTTCGAACGAATTTGATAGCAAAGATAACATCCTCAGAAGAAAGGTTTGTGTATTTGCTCATTTTTCTATGCGTTGCTTCCACCTTCACTAAAGCGCAGCGCTATTGTATCTGTCGCTTGGATTGTGGTTGCTTTGTAGATTTGTTGTCTTCGATAATACTCTAAAAAATATGTATAGAAGGCTCTTTGATTTACTTTGCAATTATCTTAATCGTGTTCGCTGTATAAACTAAGGATTCCCTACAGAAATCCTCTGAAATCATCTCGAAAATTCCCTCTACATTCCGCTCAGAATTCTCTTGAAGTAGTCCCATACATTCCTTGAAATGCTCTAATTCCCTAGGTTCTCTAAAAATGATTACAGGAATAATCTTTTAACTTTTCTAAGTATTCCTTTGGAATTAACCTCAAAACTTCGTTGGAAATTTCCTTGAAACTTTGGAAAGCTCCATAGATTTTTTTGGAACTATCATCAAAATGTTCATTGCATTAATTTGAATGCTCCATCTTCTCTTGGAATTCTACCCACTAGTACAAATCCCTTAGAATTCTCCTTAAAATTACTTTACAATTTTAGTCAAAATTTTTTTGAAATTTTATTTGGAATTACTTTTGAATTCTCCTCAGAATTCTGGAGAAAATATTCTTTAAATATTACTTGGGGTTCCCTTGGGATTCTACTCTGAATTATTTCGGAAATCTACTTACTTTTCACTTGGAAATCGGAGTTCAACAGAACTAACTTAAAAGGAATTCTCAGATTTCACTTCTAGTTTTCCTAACAATTCTTCTTTTGGGATCCTCCTCTGAAATCAATTGAATTTATCCATAGAGTGCCCCAAAAATTCGAATTAATTCAAATTAATGAAGTTCATACGCTGCAAGGTCCTTATTTTTTTCATTTGAAATTTGGGATACTGGAAAAAAGTTTATGTCAGACGTCTTAAACATTTATTTTCGAGCCAGATTCTCGAAAATTTCTCCAAGTATGATTTAATTAGATCCAGGGTTTAAAAAAGTATCCAAGTTTTAGAACCCTAAAAAAATACAATACATGTTTCAGAATTTATGTTGATACTGAAGATTCACTTCAAATTCACTCTAGAATTATTATTTTCAATCCAATTCTATTCCAATTTCTCCATAAAAGAATTGAACGAGTATTTAAAAATTCCCTGAGAATTCTAGGAGAAATTAAATTCCCCGAGAATTCCCGGTTTTCCAGGTTTTTCACGACAGCCTTAAGGCTGTTTTACCACATAATTTTAGGACTACCCAAGCAATCACGAAGCTCGCCAAATTGCCCTTTTTGTAATTTAAGGTCTGTCTGCCTATGACGGCATATCAGTCCCGTATGGAAAAAGTAGGCGTTGAGAAAATGGCCGTCGAGATTCAGGATGCGAATGATTTGCGATTATTTTGCTTGAGCATGAGCATTGACGACCATACATTTCAGTAGTTGCTACTCCGTGATTGACCACCGTTATTAGCGAAGTTTGCACAAAGAACCATATGAATGGGGCTTGGGACCAGCAATCCATTATCAGTGTACAAAATCCGGAGAATCCTTATTTTTGAGGTCAATAACGGCGCCGGCCACGGTCATCGGAGAGGGAAAGGATTGTAATTTCAGCAACCGTTGTTTCTAGAGACCGAGTATACCTCTGCATCTCCACGGTTGTCACGGGAAGGACGTTTTTGTTAGTGGGAAGGGTAAGCTAGATCTGGATTCACATTGGGAAGTGAGCGATCTTTTGAAGGCTGTTAAGCAAATGACGCGACCCTATCAACTCAGTAACGTAAAGGGGCTTGGGTTCTAACCCACGATCTTCTGCTCAGTAAGCAAAAACGGTCGCTCTAAGGCCACCGTGCCCCTCCCATCTCAACAAGCTACTGACTTGACGTTGTTTTCATATTTTTTCATAGTAAAAGTCCGTAGTTTTATCACATAATATGAAAGAAAATGCCAATGGATGGTGCATAGCGTTGTTATCTCAAAATTGACGAAAACCTATATGCAGGGTGGCAAGTGAATTACCATTTTGAAATTCCTGGTTTTTTCCTGGTTTTCCTGGTCAATGATTTAAAAATTTCCTGGTTTTAAAAACCATGTATTTAAAAAACAGTTTTTAATAAAAAAAATAAAGTGAATCCTTGTTCCATCATTCTTCGCGCAATGCGGAATTTCACAAACCAAAATAGGTATTAAGGTTTTTGTGAATGCCCGTGAAATCTTTATCTGATTGTTTGCTGTAAAGAAGCTAGAAGGGAGCCGCGCTACTTCGTCGTATCATGGCGCCTATTTCCGTTCTATGTACTAAAACTATAAAAGCAAATCGTTTTCACTCATGTTTTTGCAAAAACATCTTTGCTTACAAGATTAATTACACTGAAACATTTGCGATAACTCGTAAAATGAATGATTTTAGGGGTGTATGACGAAGAAAAGCTGAGATACGACGGACTAGCGCGGAGCCCTATCTAATGTCTGAAATTTAGAGATCTATAAGCCCCTAAATCTTGCGGAATTTTGATTACAACATGATTTCAAAATCATATCATTAAAATATTTCATAAACAGCGCTGGTTTAATAACTTTTATTATTAAAAAGACTGACTGCTGAAGTTCATAGAAACTCCCTAAAGTTCGTAGAACTTCCCTGAAGCGTTAAGGTCTTTCCTGAAGGGTTCATTGAAGTTTGTATTGCCTGAAGTTCATGGGATTTCCCCGAAGTTCGAAGGACTTTTTTAAGATCTTAGGACTTCCTGAAGTTCGGAGTTTTTTTTTAATTCATAGGAATTTTCTTAAATATCGTAGAAGTACCACGAAGTTCGTAGAAATTCTCAGAAGTTCGTAAGACTTCCTTCAAGTTCGAAGAACTTTCTCGAAGATCTGAGGACTTCCCTGAAGTTTGAAGGACTTAACTGAACCCTAAATTTAGAAGAGCTTCCCTGAAGTTCATAAGACTTTAAATATCGAAGGGTTTTCCAAATGTTTGTGGGTCTTTCCTTAATTTCTTGGAAATTCCCTGAAGTTTGGAGAGCTCCCATGAATTTCGTAGGACTACCTGTAGTTCAATCGACTTCTCGGAAGTTCTAGGAACCTTTTTGAGCTTGGAGAACTATGTTAAGTTCAGAGGACTTCCCAAGAGTATTGAAGACTTCTCTGAAGCTCGGAAAAAATCCATAAGTGTCATAGGATTATCCTTAAGTCTTAAATTAAATCTGTAGAAAATTCTGTAAAATTCGTAGTTATTCCCCAAAGATTAAACGACTTATCTGAAGTTCGTAAGACTTCTCTGAAATTTGTAGACCTTCTCTGAAGGTTCGGAGAGATTTCCTGACCGTCGTAGATCATCACAGTAGTTCACAGGATTTTCCTGAAACTTGTAAGACTTTCCCGAATTTTGTAGAACTTGCATGAAGTTCGAAGGCCTTATCTGAAGTTTTTAGAAATAGAACTTTTTTATTGAACATGTTGAACAGGTACTTCAAAGTAGTTACGCGTCGATTGTTGACGATTTGATTGTCTTAATTTGACTAATCTCATTCGTTTCAACAATATTGTCCCACATGAGTTATACTATTGTAAAAATGTCTGAGGAATCGAATGGAGAGAAAACTAGACATATCAAGCGGTTTTCAAAGTAGGTGCCAATAATAATCAACCTAGATGCAATACTACACTATTATTAAAATATATGGGAAATCGAATGGAGAGGA